ATTGTTTTATTGAAAGTCAGACATGATGTATCAAGTATGATGAACTGGGGTTCTTTCTGTTTTAATCAGTTGTAAGCTCCATTGATGTTGATGCGGCGGTGACATATGGAGGGAGGCAAAGTATTTTACAGTCTTGTGATTAGTCTCCATGTTTTAATGATTCTGTGCTTCTGGTTTGTGACCTTCACAAGTGCTTCTAAGTTTTTCTTCCTCAAACCCTAAGTGAAACAGGCAAGCTAAATAGAACTGGACTTGGGCATTTCTTCTTCCCCACATCCAATTATTGAGGGGGCTGTAGTTGGTTTCACCAGGTAGAAGGCTAGAAGGGCACTAGTGTTTGCTAATTCTCTTCCCCCACATGGAAAGTCAAAGGGGGCTAGAGCTAGACACTTTCCTCTTACAAGGGGGTTAGCAGTTGCCGTGGAGTTTATTCTGATTCCTGGCCACTCCGCGCATGTCAGAGTAAAACTGTGCTACCTAGTGTTTCCAATGGCTTATATTTCAGAAGTAGATCACTGGGCCTTTTTTCCCAAGGTGCCTCTGGGAGTACTTGAACCTCCAGTCTTGCTGTTAGTAGTCCAGGGTGTTAACTAATTGCACCACACAGGGACAAAACCCACAGTGGTTAGGCTCTGGTAAAGTAGTTTCTCTTGAGGGCAGGCCATTGCAAGGAGAGCAAAACACTATTTCAAAATGGTTACTTTTGACTATTTTGAAACAGCCAAAAGCACAGGGGATTTTTCTCTGAGCTTTGCAGTGAAAACCTGGTAGGGTTCCTGGAAGTAAAACTCATAATAGTGTAGGGGTTCCCCAAAGGCTGAGCCTTCACAAGTTGTTCTTCTTAAGCTAGTAGCTTAGTCTCTAGCAATTAATCAATTCATTTGAAACATTCCTACCCAACATGGCAGCAGGGGCTGGAGCAGCAGCTGCAGTTTCTGCTCCTAGTAAGTGGTGATTTTGTTTATCACTCTGTCCATCTTTGCAGTTTTCGGGGGTGTCAGCTTGCTCAGTGACTTCAGTCTCTGATCTAAGAAAAAAGTTGTTGATTTTCAGTTTTTCAGTTTATTCTTATCGTGAGGATGGAAGGGATGTCTTTCAAGCTCCTCATGTGCTAGACTGGAAACCTGAGGCTCAACAAGATTTTCTTCTGTTCCCTTCCCGAAAATTTATAGTATTTGGTTATACTCTAAGGTCTATTATCTATTTGATGTTAATTTTAGTACATTTTGTGAGGTAAGTATCAAGGTCTATTTTCAATGGCTTATGGATATCCAAGGTCCCTGGGTGGCACAAACAGTTTACACTTGACTTCTAACCTAAAGGTTGGGGGTTCAAACCCACCCAATGGTGCCTCAGAAGTAAAGCCTGGTGATCTGCTTCCATAAAGATAACAGCCAAGAAAACCCTATGGAGTAGTTTACCCTGTAACACATGGACTTGCCATGAGCAGAATTAATTCTATGGAAAATAGCTAAATGTTAAGTTAATGCATGTCCAAATTTTTCAGCATTACTTGTTGAAATACAGTCCTTTCACAATTAAATTTTCTTGTCACCTTTCCAAAAATCAATTGCAATAGCATTTTACATGTTTTCAGATTCACTATTCTGTTCTATTGATCTGTGTAGTATATGTTATTCCACACCACACAATATCAATTTTCGTAGCTTTAAAATATATAGTGAAATTAGGGAATATGTGAGTGCTTCAAATTTATTCTTCTTTTTCTAAAATTGTTTTCAGTGTTCTAGATTACCTGCTTTTACCTACAAATTATAGAATAAGCTTAGAGATGTCTACAAAAATGTCAGAATGGATTTTGTTTGGGATTATATTGTGTCAATATCCATTTGTGAAGAATGGCAGATAAGAAATTTTGAGTTTTCTAATTCATGAACAATGTGTATCTATTTGTTCATCTCTGCCTTAATTGTTATCATATTTTGTGGTTTTAGAGTGGAAATATTGAACAATTTTTTAGGTTTATTAAAAATGCTTTTATGTTCTTGATGTATGTAAAGAGTATTTTAATTTCAATATCCAATTATTTATTCTTATCATATAGAAATACAATTGGTATTTATAAACTTTGTGTCCTTTGGCCATGCTGAATTCTTTTCAATTTTTCTTTGGACGGAGAGTGTTTTCTGTACCTCTTCCAAGTGCAGTATTCTGAGCCTATAGTGGTTTTCTTTTCTCCTCTCTGAAATAGAGCCTTATTTTATTCGTTTTATTTGTTTTTTCTTTCTTTCCCCTAACAAGCAATAGACCTTTGCTTATGTGTAAAGGGAGAGAGTAGTTTCTACTACTTTCCAAGAGGCAAATGGAATTTCCCTATATCCTTTCCCAGAAGCAAATAATTTTTGTCTGGATCTGGGCATAAGAGGACTTGCTCTCCTTCCCCCCGGGGTTTAAGGCTTTAATTTCTTAAAGAGGTTCCAGGATGTGAGCGGGGCTTGGTGTCTATCCATCATTGCTGTCGACCATATCCTGCAGTTTTCTGTTACTAGAGGAGCCCTGTTGGTGCAATGGGTCAGGGCTCAGCTGCTAACCCAAGGGTTGGTGGTTAAAATCCACCCAGTGGCTCTGTGGGAGAAAAGACAGGTGATATGTTCCCGTAAAGATTACAACCTAGAAAACACCATGAGGCAGTTTTGTTCTGTCACATGTGGTCCTATGAGTTGAAAATCAAATCCATGGTACCTAACAGGGGTTGCACTATTTTATCTCCTGCACTGCCGACAATCTTTCTTGGGAATACTCATTGAAGGTCCATGAAAAAGTTAGCAAGAGAGTGCAAACTGTCCTTGTCTCTGGCTTGCTGTTCCAAACTAACATTTAGTTCACATTTAACCTTCCATAATTTAGTAGAATTCTACCTGACTTAGCTTATGCTTATAAGGCATCTCATTTTTTTCTCCTAGCTGCTCCTTGGGAGAAAGATGTGGCAGTCTGCTTCCGTAAAAACTACAGACTTGGAAACCCTCTGGGGCAGTTCTACTCTGTCCTATAGTGTTGCTGTGAGTCAAAATAAACTCAATGGCAAACGGTTTAATGGGTTTTGCTCAGTCACAAGCATGTCTGTCTTATTTCTATGCCCCATCTTTTCTTGAAGGAGCTTGTCAATCTTTGGAATCCAGCTTTTTTGCTAGCCTTGCACACTAAGCTCTCTGATGGGCCCAAGAAAAAATATGATTTTCTAGACTATTCAGCTTTTTCTCATAGTTAAAAGTGGGAGTGAAATTCTTGTGGATTTCTGTATTCTAAATAGATTCAGACTTCTCTGATTTAATTTTATTTAGCTTTTCAGAAATCATGGGCCACAATCACACACACACACACATATAAAGAGAGATAGAGAAAGAACGTGAACATATAAGGTGATAAAAATACCGATGTATTAAAAGTGGTGTTGCATTGTTCTGGTGACGTTTAACTTTTGTCCTGAGTAGTTGATCATTTTGTTCATGGTTCCATGTACAAACAATTATATCATGGAATTGTTCGTTATAGCAGTGAAGGACTGAATTATTTGAAGTAGAGACTCAAGTGTGACAAACATCATGCATTTATATATTTTGCTTTCAGTATAGAAAAACAAAACAAGAAAATGAAAATCAATCCCCTCTAGCCAACACAGACATGCTTCTGACTATGATTTGCTGTTTCAGTATGAGGCATTCTCCAGATTCACATATGCTTGCTTTTTTTAAAAAAATTAATATTGATAATTCTCTCCCTTATTTCATTTAGAACATTCCATAAAAACCGTTGCCTTCAAGCTGATTCCGACTCACAGCAATCCTATGTGACAGAGTAGAACTGCCTCATGAGTTTTCCAAGGAGTGGCTGGTAGATTTGAACTGCTGACCTTTTGGTTAGCAGCCCTGAGCTCTTAACCACTGTGCCACCAGGGCTCACTGGCATTTATTAAATATTTGCTTACACATTGCTTCTTTTATGGAAAATGCATTTAGATTTTAAAGGCCTTACTTATTTCCTCAGACATCAGAAATATAATAAAATTATTTTTTTTTCGAATGTGGTCTTTTCTGCCTCACGAGGTTGCTGTGCAAAACAAACAGTATAAATGAGAAAGAAATCAAATTATGAAGCATTATGCACTTAGGAGGTGTCATGTCCTCTGCCGTCATTCTGACTCTCCCCTGGTCTATTGAAAGTTTCCTGACTGGTTAATTCTTTTAATCTCTCTCTGCTCTAATTCATTCTTTGCCCAGCTCTTAGTTTTATCTTTTTAAAGCACAGTTCTAATCCTATTATTGCCCTGCTAAAAAATTCTTGATGGTCTCTCACCGCTGACCTAACTAAACCCAGATTTCTTATCCTGTCACTTCTGCCACTTAAAACCTTCTGCAAGATGGTTCTAAAAGCCTTCCTTGTTTTATCTTTCCATTTCTTTCCTATAGATCCTTGAGCTCTCTTTCTATTGCATTTTGTGCTATTTCTGGAAAAGGCCCAAACTCACTTTACCCTTACTTGGAAATTCCTGGCATATTTGAAGTGCGAAGTAAATATTTACCACCTTTAATGAACTAGTAAGAGAAGCAGGCAATATCAAATCTATAATTTTGAGATACTTTAGAGTTAAGACCTAAATAAATGATAACTATATTGTTATTATCATCATCCTCATTACTTAATTAGAATCAGTTATATTAAATCAGACTAAAGTAAATTGTGCTAAGCATTTCTAGTGTACCACTGATTGTATTTGGTAAGTGATCATTGTAATGCTTACAGATAAACAAAATCAGAGCAATGAAAATTCTATTATTTAATAGGTTGAATGTGAATAAGAACTATTTTAATAGTAATTTGTAAAACAATTATCTATGACACTAAATGTGTCAAAAATAAAGGAGATTGAAAATTAGGTATATCAAGCAAAGAATATTTATGGTAGTTAATAAACTTCAATACTAAAATCCATTTAAAGCTGTATTGCCACAGAATTTACTACAACAATTTTCTCTACAGTGGTAGCTTTTAAAAGGTAAAGCTAATGAAACTTTTCTGTCTCTTGCATATAAGTACAAGTACATAAACACAAAGTACATATATGAAAATTTTGCAACCTGTATCAGAGAATTCAGAAAATATTTAAGCTCATTCAGGAACCTATATAAGCGTTATGGGTTCATGAATTCTATAATTCACACGAAGTATTTTCCTAAATCCTCAGAGTTAAATTTTCTAAAGTCAAGAAGTATTTAACTGATAACTTATAGCTTACAGTGACATTCCTAGTTGTCATACTGAAACAAGTCTGGATTTTATTCTACAACTAAAGAACATGTAAATGATGAATAAATCTTTCATAATTTTAAAGAATGAAATCAAGTGTATTTCAAATAAATGCAGATACATAATGTGGGAGATATCATGTCTTCTCTAAAATGTTTCTAAAGCTGTAGTCAACATTGTAATAATTGCAGATATGCAAGTGTATCTGCTTAATACAATGAAAGATTTTTATAAATAATTTTATCAATTAAACATGAGTATAAATTAAATACAGAAAGGGGAAAATACTGATATGTGTGTAAGGTTAGGACTTCTTGATGAAGAAATTTACTAAATCTCTGTTCATTAGAACTATATCTAACTTTTCTTATAATTTTTTTAAATGTCGTATTTATTTCTTTTATTGGTATATTTATTTTATGTAATTATGTATATATAACTTTAGTATATAGAATTAATACATACATATATGTATTATGTACATACCTATATACATATGTTATCTACATAATTTCATAACAGTTGTTAGTGTTATCTTAGTTTCTTGAAATGGATTAGACTATTAAAGACCAAGGAGACATCAATCCAAAACCATAATAGCACAAGGTCCACTGCATACTCATAACAGAATACAGTGCAGTGACTTGATGTTTAATGGAATATTTTAAAACATAAATTTTATGCTTGACCCTTAACGTTTTCAAACCCCATTGTCCTCCCATTAGATGTCTCAAAACTTGGAAAACTGCCTTAACGTAGCACAGTGACGCTCTTTTGTGATGTGGGCAGGGAATTCCAGGCATGCCCTTGCCACCTCCATGCCAAGGAAAACTGTAGTCTCTGGTTGCCTGTGGTTAGGGAACTGAGCAAAAAGGTCATTTTTTTATCACAAGGATATGTAGGGATTGTTCATTCATTCACTGATTCGTTACACATTTATTCAACATCTGCCATGTACCAGGGTTTATAGGATTTTTTCATTGGCTAATTTTTGGAAGAAAATTGCCAGGCCTTTCTTCCTAGTCTGTTTTAGTATAGAAGCTCTGCTGAAACCTGCCCACCGTGAGTGACCCTAATGGTATTTGAAATACCAGTGACATAGCTTCCAGCATCATAGCAAGCCTTCACAGTACTAAAAACTGACAGGCAGGTAGTAGTCTGTTATACCCAAGATCACCAAGAGTTAGAGTGACTCAAAGGTAACTAACAACCTTGTGCTAGAGGCCCTTAGGAAGCTTAGAGTTGACATAAGAGAGAGATAAGTAAATACATACAGTAAAGGGCTTAAAGTACCTCTGGAGAGGGCACATCACAAAGGAGGTAGAGGTCTACGTAGATCCTTAGTGGGAATCAGAAGTTGCAGATGCCCAGGAAAAGGCTGATGAAAAAGTTGAAGCTTAAAGTGAACCTTCCGCTAAGAAGAGATTGCTGCACCAGTAAAGACACAAGTGTGAGACCTTAAGAAGTTATTCTGCCTAGTGAGGGTTGAATACAAGCAAGGACTTCGTGATCAGACAGACGTGGGTTTGTTTCTGGCTCTACCATTTGTGGTATCCCTAGCCAAGTTACTCAACCTTGCTAAACCTTAGTTTCCTCATCTATAAAATGAGGATGGTAATAATACCTCTCTCAAAGGGTTGTTATTTATTGGACATCAATTTATGTACCAGGCACTTTTTTAGGAGTTGAGAACCCAGCAATGAACACAAAAAACCAAAGTCTGTTTGAGGAGAGTAGGACTAGGTCATGAAGGTATGCTGTGAGTTAACAGACACAGGCAAAATGGCCAGGCTAGCAAGTTGTTAAGACCCAGCACTCCATTTACCTGAAAAGAAATACATGCTAAGAATAAGAATTGTTTTAGGTGAACAGATTAAGAATGTTTTTGTATTTCCTGGATGCAAACAACTTTTTCTAATTGTGTTTTGCTGTTTTTTCTGCCATCTCTTGAATAGGCCAACTTTTTTCTGTTTAAATTTTGCATTTAGTTTCCCATCCCTTTGATTTTTTTCCTCTTCCTTCATGCTCACTACTCAACCTTAAAACTTGCCGGTAAATGTGTACTTGTATTTTGGCTAGTGACTGTTAGCATTGATATTAAGACCTGCAGATTAAGTAGCCTTTGTAGTAATAATGCAGATTGTAAGCATAAAGGAGTGACTCTACTCACCTATCAGATATTGTATGTTGAATTTACTGTCCTTTGTGCTAGAAATAGGGTCTATTCTGAAAGATTCTAGAATTTATATTTTTAAGGCTATAAAATTGACTAAATGAATTAGACTACACATCAAAAAGTGTTCCAGAGGAGGTTAGGGAAATGATATCAAGTGTTCAGCTTGAGGTATGATATTTAAGGAAAGATCAATATTTTTAAGCAATTCTCACTGGAATATTGTTGAAAATCATATTTTATTGCATAAGTATGATTCTAAAGTATTGTTATCAAATCTTTTGAAAAAATGATTAAGTATGTAGAAGAGGTAGCCTGGCATGAATTTAACTTCAGAATTGAAAATAATTTTTGTATCCAGGGTAGTCCGAGATTTTGAGTGTCATATATAATAAGACTTCTTTGTGTGTGTCAGGGGTCATGTAACAAATACTGCTGACATTATTAGGCTGCTAAGTTAAAGAAGCTGGTTTGGATTCCTGCACTAACCACTTTCTTCAGTATATGTTGGGCAAGTTGAGAATTTCCTAGGGAAAATATTTTGCATTTTGTTTGAGATTTTACATGTATATTCATTAATCTGTCTCTTAAAGGAGAACTAAATTGACAGGATGTTTGTGTTTTTGTATTTGCTTCTTTTTGTTTAACTAAACTCTTTATGTTTCACTTGAATGATTAGATGTGCTTACATGAGAATCTATATCTTTATAACCAGATTATTTCTTAGAGAGTCCCCTTCATGCTAAAATATGACCCCCAAGTTATTACCAAAATATATGGGAAGTTGATTGATTCTAATACAGAGTGGTTATGAAAATTCTAAGAATGTTTTCAGGGACCATAACCAGACTTTAATTTAGATCTCAGCGATAGCCTCCACTGTTGTGTTCCCTACTGTGTTGTCCTTCCTGTATAAAGGTTGCTCTACTTTGTGACCAAATGTGTGCCTTTGTACATAAGGGGTGAGGTATATGTGACTGTGGAACAGTGTTCTACTGTTCTGAGCTGACGGTTCAAGGAGCCAGTCAGCGTCATTGGCTATGCTAGCACTTTTTTATGTTATACTTTTGTGTGGAAAATGCAAGCAAGTGGCATTACTTGTTGTTCGCTTACTTAGCATGCTGTTCTAACTGAACAACAAATAATGCCATTTGCTTACATTTTCCACATAAAAGTACAACATTGCCTTACATTTTTATCAAGATTATTTTTTGCATATCTATATATTTTTGTCTGCATTTTCTCATTTGATCTTTTCACAGTCTTTTGAGGTGAGTGGACTGTTTGCTTTACAGATGATTAAACTGAGATTCGCTGAGGTTAAATGACTTACCCAAATTCTGTTAGAATTTCTCTTGATTTTTAGAGGGGAAATTTTAATGTTTCCTTTGGGCAAGAGGGAAAATCTTACCTGGGATTTTTAAAAATGTAAAGCCTTATCTTACAGTTGACAAATTAAAGACCAGAGAAGTTAAGTGACATGCTTAAGGTCACCTAATAAATTAGTGGTGGAACTTGGACCAAAACCCAGTCCAGTGCTTTCTCCCCTGTGCTGTGCTACCTCCAATCAGTCAGTCAGATCTTTGAGCATCTCCTGTGCATCATCATGTTGCAGTGTACTGTGAGAGATCAGTGTGCAAAAGAATTTGAAGATGGTCCCTATCATCAAAGAACTCAGAGTGAAATTGAGGTGAGAAAAACTACCACATAGAGAATAATTGTTAAAATGTGTAGTACTGACTCTTCAAGAGTTCTCTGAAGGAAATGATCAATGGGGAATGGAAGAGTTGAGTATGATTCATGGGAAAAGGAGAAGTTTATCTGAGGTTTGAAGGACTGGTTGCTTCTCCATAGATGGAGGGAAGACAGGCCAAGTAGAGTTCCGAAGATAAGATAGTGAGGAGAACAGCTAATTGGAATGGATTTGGGAGAAGAAAATAAAGTTGGGAAGATAGATTGGAGCCAGATTATGGAATGCCTTGAAAGCCAGCCAGAGGAATTTGGACATTTTTCATTCTGTCAGGCAGACTTTATTAAGCACCTACTGCAAGTAAGGTGTTGTAGTACATGCTGGGAATTCGAAATTGAGAGTAATCCCTGCCCTTTAGGTAGTAAGGAAACAATTATTTCAGTGCTTTAATAGAAGTGAGAACATGGCGCCCTGGAAGCAGAGGTAGAAGTACAAAGGAGATAACATGTCAAAGCAAGAAAGTGGTAAGTAGTGATGTGTTGAAAGAAGTAATTCAGCATGGGTAAGGTACAGGATGTGTGTGCCAGGAAACCAGGCTATAAATGAGGGCTGGAATGAGATTATGAAGGGCCTTGTATGCATTGCCAAGCAGTCGTCTCCAAGTGGCGTTTATATTTATTCTTTTTTAAGCTGAAAAAGAAAGTGAAATTGAGCTTTATTAATATTTAATATGTAGATGACGCTGGTTATCTCACTAAATCTTATAAGACCATCCATGCCATAACACGTTTGGTTCACGAGGTGATGTCCTGAGGGAAGAGTGGAAGCTTCACAAAGCAGAGGGGTTAGTAATGGTGACCTTATCATACTGCAGCTTATTACAGTTTACTTGAGCCTGGTTGAGTGGATTTATGTTACATTATATGCTTTTAACTAAATTAATCTTCACAAAGTGGACAAGTAATTTACAGATTTGCGCAAAGAAACCATGGATTAAAGATAATTCTAACACTGCAAGTAAATAAGAAAAAGGTAGAGCTCCCTTTCTACTCCTCATGGGAGTTCTTTTTCACATCTCAAGGTAATAATATCTGTCAAGAAGTCAGCTGAAAAAAGTAATATTTTCAAGAAGACTATTTGAAATATGGATTTATATACTTTATCATTAATAATGAACTTCACCCTAAGAGTATATTGTACTTTGAGTTATATAGTAGCTAATGATAGAGTTACTTCATTAGGTATATTTTAATGTATTTATTTCATCTTTATCTCTTTGTTTTTTATACGTTTCATAAGATATATGCATTTATAAATATTTATAGATTGAGTATACACAGAAGTGCATACTAAAATTTTTACTGATAGGTGTGTGCTGTCAAAAAGTTTCAGAGACCACGGCTATAGGCATGGGAGCCACCAGAGTGCCTTAAATGAGGGTGTCATGTTTTAGAAAGTTCAGCGTAGCAGATAGAGTGTAGGAGCTCAAGACATGAGATAAGGGAGAGCAGTTAGGAGGCTCTTATGATACTATAAAGACAGTGAGACTGGATAGGACAGTTTAAAGCTGAAAAATATTAAGGAGATAGAAACAACAGGACTAGACTAAATGATCAGTTTGTTTGGGGGCTGAGGGAGAGAGAAGTGGAGGATAACTTTCAGATTTCTGGCTTCAAAAACTGGGTAGACTGAAACCAAACTGAGTGGGGAAGGGGAGGAACTAGTGTTTTGGGTAAAGATAGAAGTTTGGTTTTGGACATGTTGAATTTGAGTTGCTGATGTGACGTCCTCATGGAAAAGGCCAGTAGCAGGTTGAAAGTACAGGTCTGTAGTCAAGAGAGATGTCAGAACTAAGATGAAGATTTATGAGATGTCAAGGTAGAGGTGGTAATCGAAGCCATGAGTGTAGATGAAGTCATCAAGAGAGAGTACAGATTAAAAGAGAAGGAGAACCAAGATGGAACCCCAACATTTATGGCAAGGCTCGAGGAAGAAGCGTCTGGAAAGGAATGGTGGGAGCAGTAGGAGGAGAGTCTGGAGGAAATGGTGCAGTGGAAGTCAGGGAGGCAAGAGTTTCAAGGAAGGGGAGGTGATCAGCATCTTCAGATGCTACAGAAGCCAGGAAAGTTGAGAACTAAAAAGAGTACATTGGATCTGATCATTAGTGAACAAGATTGTTGGAGTCCTCGGTAAGATCATTGTCAGTGGAGTGATGGAAGCAGAAGGCAGTGAGTAGACTGCGCTTTAAAAAAGTTTCTCAGCAAAATAAAAGAACAATTGAATGAAGCATCCAAGGAAGATTTTGTTTTTGTGGCTGTTTTTTTATTTTATTTTGTTTTGAATGGGAAAGAATTGGGTCCTATTTGTACAGCAAGGAGAAAAGGCCAGCAGAGAGGAAGAGAGGTTGAAGAGACAGGAGAGAGGACGAAAACTGATGCAATCTGTTTTTTGAGCCAGGAAGTGACATGATGAGAACAGAATTTTTGGTTGGCAGCAGTTGATGCAGTGGATTCAAGGCAGAGGAAAGACCAAAGGTAGGAAAAACTACAGCTGGTGTAGTAAAAAGTAATCCAAACGAGAGATGATAAGGGCTTTCATTGGGTGGTAGTGAGGAGTGGGAGTAAGAATAGAGGGGAAAATTCCATTCAAGAAACATTTTAAAGCAAATGCTTCTTGCAAGAGGACATAGCAGAATCTGCTGGGGACCTTTTTCTACCTAGGCTGCTTCCTCCTAATTGCTCACTCACCCAAAATCTTGATACATGTGGAGAATCCCTGTGTCAGTGAGCCTCTATTACTAGCATGGGTGTTTGATCTCCCAGGGACATTGGAGTGGAAAATTGAGAGCCTCTGTTTTAAAAGAAGAAATGACAGGACATGGTGACCAGATTGGATATAGTGAATTAGCCCTGAGATTTTTATCCAAGGACCATGGAAGAATGGTTGTTACTCGGGGAAAAAATGGAATAATTGAGAGGGTATTACACTTATACCATTCAGCTTTGTTATAAAGCACTTATATGATGTAACTCTGCTGGCTGTGGAGATTGAGAAGAAAAATTTTTATTTCTAAACATTATAACTGGTCACACAGAAAGAGAGCATATTTTTCCTTTATAGGATCTTTTTTCTAGATTAAAGAAAGCTTTTGGCTTCCTCTGAAGAATGGATGGTATGTTCTTGTGATTTTAGTATTTTGTGTCTAGAGAAATGCAGTTGATTTAGTTACTTTAAATGCCTCCCTAAGGAAGATGCACTGATTCCTTCATAAAATTTGTGTTCAATTTCAGTGTAAAAACAAAATTATTCATGAAATAATTTTGTATATGAACAAAGTGCCAATGATCATGGTGTCAGTAGAATTCCCTTTTGTTTCTTTTTTTTTTTTTTTTTTTAGTTTTCTTTTATTGTTGTGCTTTAAGTGGAAGTTTACAATTCAAGTTAGTCTCTCATACAAAAATTTATACATACATTGTTTTGTGACCCTACTTGCTCTCCCTATGCTGTGACAGCACACTCTTCCTTTCCACCTCAGATTTCCCGTGTCCATTCAACCAGCTCCTGACCTCTGCCGTCTCATCTCGCCTCCGGACGAGAGCTGCTTATTTAATCTCATGTATCTACTTAAGCTAAGAAGCACACTCTTCACGAGTATTATTTTATGTCCATAGTCCAGTCTAATCTTTGTCTGAAGAGTTGGGCTCAGGAATGGTTTTAGTTTTGGGCTAACAGAGAGCCTGGGGGCCACATCTTCCAGGTCCTTCCAGCCTCAATCAGACCATTAAGTCTGGTCTTTTTACTAGAATTTGAATTCTGCACCTCACTTTTCTCTTGCTCCGTCAGGGACTCTCTGTTGTGTTCTCTGTCAGGGTGGTCATTGGTGGTAGCTGGGCACCATCTAGTTCCTCTGGTCTCAGGGTGATGAAGTCTGTGGTTTATGTGGCCCTTTCTGTCTCTTGGGCTAATACTTTCCTTGTGTTCATGGTGTTCTTCATTCTCCTTTACTCCAGGTGGGTTGGGACCAACTTATGGCATCTTAGATAGCCGCTTGCTAGCTTCTAAGACCACAGATGCCACTCGCCAAAGTAGGATGCAGAACATTTTCTTAATAAGCTTTGTTATGCCAGTTGACCTAGATGTCCCCTGAAAGCATGGTACCTAGACCCCTACTCTTGCTACTCCGTCCCTCAAAGTGTTTGATTGTATTCAGGAAACGTTAGCTTTGGTTTAGTCCAGTTGTGCTGACTTCGCCTGTAGTGTGTGCTGTCCTTCCTTTCACCTAAGATATAGAATTCCCTTTTGGAAAGAATAAAAGAGTTACAAAACTCAAACTTGGTTTTATTTCTGTGACCTGACTCCCAAGACATCACTAGAATGCTTTGACATAAAGCTAGTTAAAGATATGTGAAGTGCATTTTTTTTCTTTTCTGCAACATTTTTCTTTCTACTGTCTTGTGACCCTCTTGTTTTTAAATTTATAATTTATTTAGAAGGCTTTATGAAATGTAAACTTAATAGGATAGAGAGATGAGAAAGTTGAGGTAGTGTATCTTTCAATTTAATTAATCTGTTTATATAAAATATTACTCCTCACATATGGAAAATGGGAAGTTTTTAATTTTCATTGAAAGAGACCCAGAAAAAGTATAAAATATACTTTTTTTTTAGTGAGTTGACATCAAACTAGCAAAAATTAAAAAAGAAAGAAAAAGCATTTGTTTTATTCAAAGCTCTTTTGATTTCAATGTACAGAAATCTATTTAAACTAATTTATATGAAAGGATGGGGACATTGTAAAGATACCAACAGGTCTCAGGAATCCAGGAAAAGCTCACTGTCATTTCTCATTTCTCCTCATCTCAGGGCTTCTGTCTTCCTCTCTGAGCATATCTGCTATATCAGCTATGTTCTCGTCCTTTTATGGTTTCATTTTTTACATTTAACTCTTTACCTAGAATTTATTTTGGCTTATGGTATACAGTAGAGATTTAACTTATTTTTCCAAATAGTTAACTGGTTGTCTCAGCATTATTTGTCAAATAATCCTCTTGTATGCTTAGTTCTGATAGACTGGTGGTGGCTGCCTGCCTGGAATGCCTTGTGGGGAAAGATTCCAAAGTCGTATCTGAGTTCAGCAGGAAATAGTGCTATGATTTATTAGTGATGTCTGCAATGAATGTGCCAGAGGGTGGAATACAGTACATATACTACATATCTGCCACCCAAAGAATGACCTGTCCTTTCCTCATTGATTTGAAATGTACCTTTTTTCATATACTTAATTTTTTATATTGTGGGATCTATTTCTGGATTTTCTGTTATATTCTGTTTGAGTGTTTTGTAACATACCCGGACCAATAAACAACATCATGATAAATGAAGAAGAAATTGAAGTTGTCGATGATTTTAGTCTACTTGGATCAGCAGTCATTGTCCATGGAAGCAGCAATCAAGAAATCAAACAATGCATTGCATTGGGCAAATCTGCTGCAAAAGACCTCTTTAAAGTTTTAAAAAGCAAAGATGTCATTTTGATGACTAGGGTGCACCTGACCCAAGCCATGGTCTTTTCAGTTGCTTCATGTGCATGTAAAAGCTGGACAGTGAAAAAGGAAGACAGAAGAATTGATGCATTCCAACTGTGGTGTCGTCAAAGAATGTTGAATATACTGTGGACTGCCAGAAGAACGAACAAATCAGTCTTGGAAGAAATACTACCAGAAAATTCCTTAGAATTGAGGATGGTGAAACTTTGGCTTGCTTACTTTGGACATGTCATCAGGAAGGAGCAGTCACTAGAAAAGGACATCAAGGTTGGTAAAGTAGCAGGTCAGTGAAAATGAGGAAGAACCTCAATGAGATAGATTGACACAATAGCTGAAACAATGGACTCAAACATACCAACAACCATGACAATGGTGCAGGTCTGGGCAGTGTTTTGTTCTGTTGTACATCAGTCGCTATGATTCGGAGCCAACTCGATAGCATTTAACAACACCAATTCAAGTGGACTGTAGCAGGCAAGGAAAATTTGAAATAATCTATTGTTATTCTTTAAATTTTTCTTGCATGGTATAGTCCACTTATTTCTCCAGATGAATTTTGGAATTTTTTTTATTCTTAAAAAAAAAAAAATCATCTGGTATTTTGATGGCCATTGTATTAAATCCATAAATTAATTTGGAGAGAATTGATGTCTTTGTACTATCTCTTTCCACATACTGGACCTCACTCATCCATGTTCCAATCATGAGGCCAAGGGGTATATATGAAATGTTTTGACTGGCCAGGCCTAGGTCAGGAACTCACCCTTGGAGCCAGGGAATGGGGCAACTCCACTGGAGCCACATGGACTGAAAGTGGAAAGGGTTGGTTCCTCAAAGGACAATTGAGGTGATGCTATCAAAAGAAAGGGGAATGGGTGCTAGGGAGACATAAACCACAGATATCTACTGCATTGTTATGAAAACATCAGAAAATGCTGATAGAGATTAAATGGGAAAGAGCTATGTTAAGAGATTTAAAAACTATAGACAGCTATAAAAGGAAGCCAGAAAAATAAATTTGCTTGGGTACTGGGGAGCTAGTTGGAGCTTTTTAAAAAATTTTGACGCTTAAAAGTGAATAATAAATTATTCTCAGGATTTATTTTGGTGATATTTTGAACCTCACTTTTCTATAAATTTTAAGCAACTTGGCAAGTATGCATTTTGATCATATTTTTATAATTAGGATAACAAAAAATATAAAGAGCTCACGAACAGGCCTTGAAGTCGGAGATAGATTAGGATTGAGAAAAATCTTTACTTTTTGTCTATCAGAATTGTTGTTGTTGGATGCCATTGACAGTGAACTGCCCCGTGGGTTTTTCTTGGCTGTAATCTTTATGGAAGCAGATCACCAGGTCTTTCTCCCATGGAGCCAGGGCTCTTTCTATCAAAAATAGATGTATGCAGTTCTTTTTGGTAAGAATTATTTTCATTGCAAGTGGCAGAAACTCCAAACTCCAAACTCCTTGTTTAAACAGAAGTGGAATGTATTGCCTCATGTAACTCTTAGGACTGAGAGTAGATCTAGGTTTAGGTACTGTGGGATCCAAAGGCTCAAATTATCTTGGCTGCAGCATCTCCTACTGTGGAGAGTCTAATTCTGTGCAGTAACATAAGATGGCACCAGCAGTACTAGGAATATATTGCCCCAGCTTAATAACCTCTGTTTAGAAAGAAAAAAATTTTTTTTCTTCTAGCATCCATTTATCAGTCTCAGAGAAGGACTCTGATTAACTCTGCTTTAGCTTTACCTACTGCCTCTTACTGCCAAGTTGGAGACTGATTAACTAGGCCTAGGTCATGTGCCCTGCCTGGTATATCAGGGTTGGCAACCTCAGAGAACTATGTGGAATGGGTGGTTGCCAGGCCAAAAACAATTTATGTTCACTATAACAATGCAGATGTTGAGGCCTAAAATGTTTTTATAGCTAAATTAAAATTTTTGAAAAATAGCTATATAATAATGACCATTATTGAGAGCTTAC